GTAACTACATGGAAAAGTAGGCACAAGATGTTTGAGTGTCACATTAACAAGTCGAATTAGATTTCCCTGAATATTTATAATAATGTGCTGTGAGTGCGCTGCAAGTGCACTTGAAGATTAGTACAAATGTTTTATGGGTGTAAATGTACTGTTTGTCCAATCTGACCCACGCTTACGGTAACTTTAACGATTGTTGTATAAAAAGGAAGAAAAAAAACACTGTTTACTTTGCAAATATGTACATAGTATATATTTGTTTACTAAATGAAATTTGAAACTGTAAATAAAGCTTTCATTGTTTCTAAAGGAAAGTGTTGTGATGTGAAATGTTTTCCATTTTAATTTAGGGTGTGCAGAAGTAGCTCCCACATGTTACAGTGCTGACGGCAGGATGACAGATCTCTCTGTAATGTTTGACTGCGACCAAACAGAGGTGTTGATGTTTGTTTGTCACGTTGTTTTAGGGCGCAGTCGTGAGGCTGTTGTTGCAAAGCTATCTGCAAATTAGCAGAAGAGCTGGAGATCCATCTGACTGCATCAGTGAATCGTTTTCATTTAAAAGGAAAAAAAAGACTCATTCAACATAAAATCAACCAAGTTTGGGAAAATGAAGATTGTGTTTTTAATAAGTCCCATGCATAAAGTTACAGGCCTCCAAAATACGCAGGGCTGTGTTGAAGATCGTGGCCTTTGCTTTTCCAGCATAATGAGTCTCCTAACTTTAGTTTCATGCCAACACATTTAGGCTTCGTCTAAAAACTGCAAACTAATCACCTTTATATCAACCCAAGTGACACCAGCACCAGAGTTTGTTTTTTCCTAATTGCTGAGTATCAGTTTTATTGGATTTATCACACTTTTCCCCCCTAAATTAGAGTCACCTCAAAACAAAACAAAACACTGATACCATCCATGTTTTATCTGTTTTCTTAAACTCACTGAAAACAACTCACAAAGTGTGTCCTGGGTAACTTTTAAAGGCTCTTTTCACCTTGTAGGATACAAGTCTGGTCAAACCAAGCATACAACAACGTCTCTTTTTTTAACATACAGTTTGATTCTTAGCTGTGTTTCCTTCTGTGTCAAAGTTTCTAATATAGTCATAGCTGAACAGTCAAATGCAGCTTATTCTGTGAACTGGTCTTCACTTTCATTTCTCCAGATAATTTAATTGTTTTGCACAGACCTGTAAATTGTCTCCAGCTCCCCCTACATGGAAGCATGTGTCTGCTTTCTGTTGTCGGTGAGTTTTGCACAGGTTTACTTCTGTTTCTGCTCCCATTCAGTGTTGATTTCATAACTTTGTAGTCTTTGTCATTTCA